CTCCTATCCATGACCTATGGCATAAGGAGGGCTAGCACCACACACACACACACACACACACACACACACACACACTCTCTCATGTGAATGATATCATACGTATACTCACAAATGATTTATACCACATGGGACACTCACGCACAGATTCATCAGTGACGCATGTGCTCACACCCACACAGGACTTACAGCACACACTCACACAGACGAATATGTGACGTCACAGACCTATGATTTATGTCACGGACACACAGACCTGGGTCTGTCACATGTGAACATGGACTAACATGTGACACCAGACGTGACTTACGTCACAGGCACATGGCATATCACACACACGTGACTTACATGACGTGTGCACACACTGGCCGATGACAACACACCCCAACATGTGACTTATATCTTGCGAGCACATACTGACTTACATCTCTCTCTCTCTCTCACACACACACACACACACACGTGCGCGTGCACGCCCAGTCACACGTGCCTGTCCGCTCTCACACACACTGACAGGTGACTCGTGCGCACAATCCCACTCACACGGGACCCCACACTGCACACACGGCCCGTGTGGGGTGGGGGGGCGCTCACTTCTTCACGTCGCGGCTCCCGGCCCAGTAGCCCCCAATGGCAACGGTGCCCACGGCCATGATGAAGATGATGACCATGTTATAGTCCAGCACGGGCTCGTTGGGTGCGTACAGCGCCGCCTTCACTGCTCGCCCGAAACTCTGCCTCGGAGGACAAGCCAGAGCTCGGCTGCGGGCCCTTCCCGTGGGGCTCAGCGAGCCCAGGCCCATCTATACCCCTGGCCGCTGCAGAGCGAAGGCCTCATGATCACACGGGGCTGGGGACCCGTCCACCCTCATTCCGGATCCTGAAGAAACAAGCCCCGGCAGAGCATGCGCCGAGGCCAAAGGAGCAGCAACGGGCCTGAGCTGTGGACATAACACTCGCATAATGGGGGACCCCGTGCATGCACTCATGTGGGCACGGGCAGCAGCAGCAACGGGCCTGAGCTGTGGACATAACACTCGCATAATGGGGGACCCCGTGCATGCACTCATGTGGGCACGGGCAGCAGCAGCAACGGGCCTGAGCTGTGGACATAACACTCGCATAATGGGGGACCCCGTGCATGCACTCATGTGGGCACGGGCAGCAGCAGCAACGGGCCTGAGCTGTGGACATAACACTCGCCTAACCGGGGACCCCGTGCATGTACCCACGTGGGCACGGACAGTGAGAGCTGGGCCCGTGGCAGCTGCGGGGACGGAGGGGACTCGGGGCCCACCTTGAAGATGTCCAGCATGTCTCGGTGGCTCAGCAGGGCCACAGGGATGCCGATCTCATCGAACTGTGTCTTGTTGCCTCCAGGGGGTACCTGGGGGACGAGAGGGGAAAGGGCCCTGCTCAGGTCGGTGGGCTGGGGGACTGCTGTCAGACCACGTGCCACTCCCTCCAGAAAGGACTCTGAGGAGGGCCCCCACCCTTGGGCCAGCATCTGGAACTCTCTGTGAGCCTGGGGCCACCACGTCCCAGCCTGCCCGGAGGAACACGTACCAGCTTCTCCCGGCTGACCACCAGCAGCCCGCGGGCCCCGCTGCCCTGAGCCAGCCGCACTTTCTCATAGAAGGTACAGTTGCCTCGTGCCACCAGCGGGATCTGGTTGCTGAAGCCCCTACTCGGGAGGTCGCTCGGCGAGCAGAGAACAGAGGCTGACCAGTCCTGCAGCTGCAACAGGGGCTAGGGGACAGGGCAGTTGTCACACACGCAGGGCACTGACATTCACTTCAGACACAGCTACGGGACAGCTCTGGATCCCCCAGACAGGGCATGGGGGTGGGGGGCACAGGACCCCCCCAGACAGGGCATGGGGGTGGGGGGCACAGGACCCCCCCCAGACAGGGCCATCGAGAAGGGTGGTATCCACCACCAAGAGGGCCATGGAAGGGGGGCACAGGACACCGACAGAACCGGCCAAGGGGGTAGGAGGCACAGGACCCACTACGGACAGGGCCAAGAGGGAGCGTAGGGCCCACCACAGACAAGGCTATGGAGGGGGGCACAGGACCCCCACAGACAGGGCCATGGGCAGGGGGAAAGGAGAAAACCTTGGGCATGAAAGAAATGGGGGCCAGGGTCTGGGAGGGAGGTTTCCTGCAAGTGAAAGTGCAACCCGCCTCTCAAGACCCTTTGAGGTCCTTCCACTTGGGTCCTCTAGGGCCGCCCTGAGTGAGCTGAGGGACTGGGGCTGGATCTGCCTCCTTGTGCCAAGCCCCACAGGAAGGCCGGGGGGTCTCAGCTCTGACCCCTGGCTCCCACCAGGCTTTCTGTCCCTGTCCCATGTCCCGGGTGCTCCCTGGAGCCTGGACATAGGGGGTGGGCACAGGGGCTGGACACTTACCGCCTTGCTGAGGTCGTGCGGCAGGTGAGCCCACTGGGGGTTGTACAGAATGCAGTAGTCCCGGCCCCGGGGGCCGCCTGTCTCGGCCACCACATGCACCATCCCGTACTCACAGGCCACCTGCAGGCGGGGAGGCCAGCATCAGCACACGCCACAGCTGGGCGCATGGCCGCTGTGGGACAGCTGGGACCCGCCCGCGGGAGAAGAGGGCAGTGGAGAGGCGGGCTGTCCCCACGTCCCCTCACAGAACAGGTGTGCTACTGACTACAGGTGTTCAGCGGTCCTAAGGGCAAGCTCAGACTGAGGGGGGCCTTCTGGCTAGTACCCCAAGTTTGATAGGGTGGTAGCAGTGTCCAGTGCTGTTATCTGACCACTTGCAGGGGACACCGCACCTGACACACACCAGGCTGAGCGTCCATGACGTTCTCCAGCCTCCCCTCATGGCGGCCCTCCACATGCCAGCTCCGGTCACACAGCACCCCCCAGGGACCCCACCCAGTCACGGTATCAGGCCAGGTCCCCATCTGAACACCTCCCAGGGACCCCACCCAGTCATGGTATCAGGCCAGGTCCCCATCTGAACACCCCACAGGAACCCCACCCTGTCCATAGCACCAGGCCAGGTCCCTTCAGGCATCAGGGCCAGGTCCCCACCCCACACCCCACAGGGACCCTCACCCCAGTCTCTGGACGGCTGTGGCCACCACAAAGTGGGAGAAGCAAGTGTGCAGCTCCTTGGCGCCCCTGCGTGCACCCCCCCCACCCCGTGCCTAACAGGTGGCTGCTGACGTCGTAGGAGGTGTTTATCTACCCAAGTGGGAGGTAAAGGGGGGGTGTCTCATTTGACCAGGGTTCCCACAGACCCCAAGGCAGGACTGGAGTCCCTGTCCTGGCCTTCCCCAAGTGAGGACACCCCTTTCTCCAGGCCTGGTAGAAGCCTGGCAGCCCAGGCACTAAGCCAGTCTCAGCTCACTGGCCACGATGCAATCAGCAATCTGCAGCCTGCAGCCGAGGGCCTGGACCCACCTGCTTTTGTAAATAAAGTTATATCGGCCCAGCCCCGTGCATCTATGTGGTCAAGGATGTGGGTGTTTTCTCACCAAGGACACAGCGGAGGAGCTGCACAGCAGAGGGTGTGGGCAGCACGGGGAAGGTGCTGACCACCTGGCCCCTCACACAGGACCTGAGCCCACTCCACAGGCTCTGGGCACAAAGTCTCCTTTGTGTCCAGCAGATACGGGCACTTTCTTTTAGAGAAGAGAAAACATCCAAGTTTCCTCATGTCTTCTCCCACAGCTGGAAAGCAGACGGGTTTCCCTTTCAAAAGAACCTTGTATATTTAGGAGCCCTCCAATAAGGCACCATTCTTTCCTCCTGCTGTGTTACAGGGACCGGGCGATGCTCCCTGAAAGGATCCAGGGTCGACAAACACCAAGCTCCAGGCTGGTCCACCCATGTGCAGACTGTCAGAAACACCAGGGTAGCCACGGGAGGAGTCTATCCTGGTGTGTGTCACAGCCTTCTAACAAGCACACGGAACTTCAAGGAGACTCCAGGCAGCCCTGATGCACCCAAGACCAGGCTTCGGGCTGCCAACCCGAATGCCAGCAGGTGGAATAAACCAGTCGCTTGGTGGGAGAAAGCGACAGCCATTCGCTCCTTCCCAGGGAGACCCTGTGAGGAAGCTCTAATTCCGTCTACAGGCTTGCTAAGTTGTAACAAAATAGCAGGCAGCCTGCATTTGGTTTCAGTAACCACAGGACCACCACCAGACTGGTCCACACCAGAGGTTCTCCTCCCAGGGTCAGGCATGAAGCTGTCTCCCTGCAAGAGAGCCAGCAAGCTGGGGCCCTGGAGTGTCAGTGCAGAGCTGCCCTCAGAGGGTGTCCCACAACAAACTCCAGCCAAACACACCCCCTGAGGTCGATTCCGACTCACGACCCCCCTCCCTAGGGTGTCTGAGGCCGTGAATATTAAAGGGAGGGAAATGCCTCACTCTTCTTCCGAGAAGCTCCTGGCTGGTGGATTTGAACCACAGACCCTTCAAGCAGTAGGCCAGGATGTAACACTGTGGCACCAGGGCGCCTTCAGAGGGTTTCAGCAGTTCAGGTTTTGGAAGCATGTCACCAGGCCTTTCTTCTGAGGCACCCTCTGTGAGCAGCCGAGGGCATTCACCACATTCATGTTCCAGCGCTGCTGCTTCGGAGAGCAGCTAGGGAATCCTACACTCTCGGTGGCTCACACCTCTGATCGGTCAGCAACCTGACATACACTACACCCCGGGTTTCCTGGACATTACCAGGGCCCAGAAATCATGGGAGGAAAGGCGCCAAGACGGAGGTGGGACAAAGGGGAGCTGGCATGCAGGGACCTTCACTCCCCACCTCACACGTGCCCCACACGCAGAGGGTGGGAGCCACACGCAGTGGTCACTCCCCTCTCCCAGGGTCTGCGAATTAAGAATTGCCGCTTAACAGCTTCTGCCCAACAAGACAGTCCATCTTACTCCGGGAGCCAGGACACAGGACTACCAGGACAGCCCCGGCACCAGCCCCAGGGGAACAGGACCCACAGCTCTTCCCGGACGCCTCTGATGATACATGAGTCCCTGAGGATAAAGTCCTCAGGTCCTCGCCCATCCAGGACAAAGTGCAAACACCCAGCCTCTGGGCCTCCTTGAACTCTGGCCACTACAGCCTCTGCCTGAAGCCAAGCCAACGCCCTCAGGTCCAGCTGAGGGGCAGCTGGCTGTCTCTGTACAAAGCTCTCTCTCCAATCGCTGGGATATCCCACAGACACACCCAGCCAATCCGCTGCTGCCAAGTCAATTCTAACCCAAAGGAGGAATGGAATGGCTCCTACTGGTCACCACAGACCTTCCCCCGAAAGGTTTCAAAGGAGTCTATCATTACAGACGCAGACTGCCCACCGTTCACAGAGACAGAGAGGGTGATGGGTTTGAACTGACAACCTTTCGGTTAGCAGCTGAGCTCTTTAAGCAGTGCACCAAGCTAGACACGGTCTTCAGACAGCTATGAGCTCCTGCACCCCCAGCCTTGCCCAAGCTGCTTTCGCTGCCTATGGCAGCCTGCCCAAACTGGCAAGCTCCCATTCACCCTTCAATACCCTCTTCAAGTATCTTGGCTTCAGAAGAGCCTTCTCAGGCAAACGCCATAACACCCCCACCATCTCTCACCCACCTCTCACTTTCTGAACCTCATGCAAGGTCCCTGTGTTCAAACTCCTCGAAGGGGCCCTAAACCCTGATCTTGTGCCAAGGACACTGCCTCTGACACACCCAACTCAATTACCCCAGTCACTGAATCAATCTACCTCATAGAGGGTCTTCCCCTCCTGCGCTGTCCCTCCACCCTCCCAAGCATGATGTCCCTCTCCAAGGACCGGTCCCTCCTCACAACATGTCCAAAGTATGTCAGACGAAGCCCCAGAATCCTTGCCTCCAAGGAGCAGTCTGGTTTAACCTTCTCCAGAATAAATCTATTTGTTTTCTTGGCAGTCCATGGTACATTCAATACTCTTCTCCAGCACCACAGCTTAAAGGCGTCAATTCTCCTTCTATCCTCCCTAGTCATTGTCCAACCCTCTGATGTATAACAAGTGATTGCAAAGACCATCGCCTGTACCAGACGCACCTTAGGGTACCTGGAGTATTAAAGGAGAGGCTTCAGGGATAACAGAAAAGGGTAAGGTACAATATCCCTAATAAGCCCACATCCTGTCCTGGGGGGGTAGGAGAGGAGGGGTCCTGAGAGCAATCAGATAATGAAGTCTGAGAGACGCCTCAGAAGGCTCTCATCTAGAAAAGCTCTTTGTGGGGGAAAGCGCTGCAGGAGCTGGAAATTGGGGGGGGCGTGGCCACGGAACGGAGGGACCTCTAGCAGAGGGACCCGAGAGTGACGACTTGGCAACTCCAAGGGAGCCCAGCTCGCTCCCCATTTCCCAGAACTGCCGGGAAGTTTGGAGGAGGCGCAGTGGGGGTCAGGATGAGCATCATCCAGCTCTGAGCCGGAGCCCCCCAGGGATCTGAGCAACCATAGTTCGAAACACAAACGATGACACCCCAATCCTTCGGCGGAGCCATGCAACTCAGTTCTAGTACCTCCTCCTGCAACAGCGCCTCGGGCACTCCAAGCAGGGAACTCCTCTGCCCAAGGTCATGGAGGGAGAGAAGGGGCTAGGGGCTCCCCCAGTCCTGGGGCTGGGCTCTTGGCCGCCCCTCGATGCCTCCAGGCCCAGGGTCCCACGCAAGTCCCTTCCTACGCCTTCCCCACTCCCCTGGGGGTGGGGGAATAGCGCTGTACCCATTTCACATAAGGGAAAACTGAGGATCGGAGAGGCGCAGCCGCCAGGCCCAGGCCACAAAGCCAGAGAGGGGCGGCCCCGGCTGCGGCCCGGGGAGACCCCGAGATGGACAAGCCGGTCCTGGGGGGAGGAGCACGGGGTCCACAAACTTGGGGCCCGGCCGCACGTGAGTGACGCTGCAGCCACCTTTCCACGGGAAGGCGTCTGGGCAGGGCCCCAAGGTCACTCCCAGGACTGGACCCCGGAAAGAACTCGGGGGTCGCGAGCCAGCGAGTGGCCCCGAGCCAGGCGGGGTGGGGGGTGTTCCCACGAGGGTCCTGGGGCGCGCGGCCGGGGAGGCGCCGCCTGCGCGGAGGCACCTGCCTCGCCCTCACCTGGGCCGCGAGCAGCAGGAGGGCCGCCCCGAG